AATCTCCATCCTGGTTTCTTTGGAAGTTTTCGTAATGATTTTAAGTAATGAAAGAATACTGAAATTCTTTGTCCGAATTTACCCTAGATTTATGAAAAAATCGGTCCGATTAAAAAAAAATAAATTGCAAAATGAAAAAAACGTAAAGTTGGGGAATGCTTTTGCATGGTTATTTTTATGAGTGGTTTCTTATCTTCTTTCTGCATTCACAACCACATTCTGGGCACGGCGATAAAATACATCCGGTAGCAAGGCCTCTGATCGGGATGTTTTGAGAAGCGTTGAACTGCCTCTTAATTGCTATTGTTCCAAGGTCTACCTTGACCCGGGGTTCTAATAATGGCAAATAGGGAACCCCCAAATTGGGATCAAAACACTATGAAAGTATAAAAACACGTTTTTATAGTAAAATACCAGCAGTACATTTTCATGGTAACAAAAAATTACCAGCTGTATATTTTTGTAAGGAAAATTACTAATGTTCCTAAGAAAATAAAATTTCGGTATTAAATGATCCAAAAGGAATTGATATATAACTAAAGAAACAAGCAAACAGACATACAGAACCCTTGCTAAAAATATGATGATTCGGTGTGAAAATGACTCTAATATGACGAAAGTTTAATCTGCAAACAGCACAATAAATAACATCCATTTATAAGATGTCAGTTATTAAACGTGTAAAATAGTTTAAAATGGCCGAAGGCTTTTGCCCGTCATGTATATGATTTTGCTTATACACGTGTATTTACGCACACACTTACATAGATATCCACATTTATACCCGCGTATTGTATATATTGGCATCAGGTCAAATTTAAATGTATACATGCAAACTTTTTAAAGTATCTAAAGATATAATTTTGCGTCAAAGAATTTACAGAGAGAAATATTTATAAAAATGCTTTTATAACTTTTTAAGCTATTTATCTAATAATGATGGCGTAAAATGCAAACCATTTGTACACATTTTTAAATTTTTTACTTATAAATAGCAGTCAATATGAAACTATATTGACGAATACTTCCCAATATATTTAATTCGCCTGACGTCTCCAGGGTTGCTTGTCGTAGGTTCAGCCGATAAAATTAAAAAAAAAGAAAGAAAAAGAGGAATCAAGATTTTATCATAAAAAATCTTGGAAAAAATTACCAAATTTTCTATTTCGAATTATTTTGACACCTCTTCGATATTTCCTCTTCTGTTTTATGTCTTTTGGGGGGTTTTGTCTTCTCCATTTAGAAAACTTAAATATAGAAGTTCAAAGGGGAAATCGTTTTGTCTTTAAGCAAATCGTCTTTATTTATCTATCAACTTTACAGTTTTACAGATTCTGCTATTCTTTTACCAATAATCCAAGAACGTTTCGTCTTTATTCAATGAAGTCAATAATAAGCACCGAAACGTAATTGTAAATGGAACACTTAAGAGCGTTCATAAAAGATTCGAATTTTTAAGTAGAAGATTCAACGCAGAAGATGCTGAGTTTCTTGCGTACATACTCTTTCCGATGAATTCTTGGCGGCACCTGCAGAAGCTTCATTTTGGCGGTTGTGATGAATGTATGCACACGTTCGCTTTCAGTCTATGAGACCAGGGTTCAAATTTCACCATGGTCAATTTCTTAGGAAAAATCATTTCCTGATGTTATCATTCTGGGGCACATGCGACATATTGGCAAAATAGCTGAAAACGATACCACAAGTTGACCAAAGCCTTGTGTGGCAGACGGCACAAAGTCACAAGTCATCGTGACCGAGCTTTTGAGTGTACTGGTGTTAATCAAACTGCCGATCATAACATAATACGCGCTATCTCCTAGAAACTTTAAGAAAGTTCCGTTCACAATAACTGTAGTGTAAAGCACAGGTGAGCTATGTGGGTGTTGAACAAACACACATGTGCCTGAGCACGCGTTTGCAACGGGATGTTTGGTTAATCGCTTTGACAGACATATACTAGCAAACTAGAGTAGCCAGATATTTACATGGTGTTTTCACATCTGAAAACATCACCACCGACCCAGTTTGTTTTAATTTACGAACATTTTTTCCAATTGTACTCTTGAAATTTTAACATGTTGTTTGATTGTTAATCTTTCCATGGTTGAAATTGCCAAAGAATTAAGTTGTTAAATCTGAAAGAAAAAAAATCATTAGACATTTAAACTTAATTCACAATTAAAATCGGTCTAAGTTATTGGAACAGCCTTAAGATTGTATCGTTTTTTAAAATAACGCTTATTACTTAGAATACTCGACAATTTAATTAGAATATTGCACTGATTAGATGATATACATATTCATTATAGGCTTTGATGTAGGCTTGCCTGTGTCTAGAATTGGTTTTAAGGTTTGAAATTGACTGGATCAGAACTACAAGAATTAGTGTGATTTTTTTTTTGTTTCGTTGTCTGCAGTCCTGATTTAATCCACAAGGATTCTAATGGGAAAATCCTGAACCTAGAAGATGGAGCTTTAAATCTAACGTTCTTTATGCCTGCCTGCTGCTGCCCCTGCTGCTGCCCCTGCTGCTGCCACTACTTATTCTGTTGTCACCCTTGACCTCCTTCACTGCCACAACTCTTTTCTTACTGCAGCTAAAGTTTCTCCTACGGCTAGAAAATAACATAGTAGGTTAAAGAGATGATTCGAGAATTTGGGGGCATAGTAATTTGAAACAATGCAGACAATATTAAAAGAGACTAGACGAGATACTCTTGGACATTGACAGCGGAACAAGTACAAGTGATTCACATAGAATGCATAATTGGCTCAATAAGAAACTTACGCAGATCAATAAGCATGTGATGGATAATGATCGAAACGTTGTGATAAAAACAACAAGCATGAGGACAACATTCAGAATTTAAACAATATAAATAGTGATAACTCCTCACCCAAGAAATTCAGACAGAAAGTAAATTTTTCTCAACTAAACGTCAATATTAATTGCAATAACATTATCTTCATAGCAGAAGTGAAGTTTTAATCATCCACTATAATTTGATGACTGCGATAGTTATTTTTTTTCAGTGATGTTCATGTTGTACAAGGCTCGGGAACACTCGAGGTAGAGGGCTACAGAGCAAGAGACAAAGTTTAGGCGGATATACAGGGTGCGGTGGATAAATTGTCATCTAAAAACACCATCTCGTTTTAACAGATATATTTACAATAATTACACAAAAATTATCTTGAAATACTAAGGGTAAATTTATTCAATAAAATCGACATTGACTTATACAACGACCTCCAGACAACTTCGGAATCTCCTGAAACACTTCTGGACGGTCCGCTTGTTTAAGTTGGTGATGTGGTCGCAGAAATTGTCTGAACACTCAAGACTCGTGTAGCATGGTGCAGAGTTCTGTTGCTAGACATAGGGACATCCAGTAGCCACCCTCTTGACCAAGGACAGCACTACCACCACAAGTGACTTTATGTAGGCCTCCGTTTTGAGCCTGAGTCCCTGTGGGAAGATGAATGGAGGCATAACGTCGCTATCATTAGTGATCACTCCAAACACCTTCGTAATCACCATGAGACTCATCCAACTCTTTCCGAATCCTCTTCATTGTCCTCAGATTAACACCCAAACGCACTGAAATGTTCGTATTGGAGCTTTCGGCGCAAATGCCGAGCAGTACAGCATGCCATTTCCAATTTTCTGGAGTAGTGAATTGCGTCATGGTGCTCTTTTTCTCACAGACAGTGCCCAACTGATCCTACTATACTAGGCAGTCAACAAAATGGCGACAAGTTACCAATCGAACCCTTTATAGGGAAGATAATGGTTAACCATAGATTTGAACAGGTTAAGATTGTAGTGGTCTGAAAAACATCATCTTGAGAGTTGGTTTCCCAGTGCAGCATTTCGCGGGAATAAGCTGCTCGGGTAGAAGTTACCCCTCACCAATGGAACACGAAGAAATTGAGGTTGGTTCGCTACAATGTGTTGTAGCAAGGTGAGTGTTATCTGTGAACAGGTGGAACTAAGGAATGTACTTTGTCTGAAAACTTTCCGAGGAATTATTAATAAGTGAAGTGAAAAGTTTGCTACGTTTAGTCTGTGGGAAGGTAATTGTAGTGTGAAAAATATTTTGAAGGCGATTTTGAAGTCTGTTGAGACTGGAAAGTGAAGACTGGGCAGCACTTGCCCATAGTTATTTCGCATGATGTTCAAACAATGGCTGAATGAAAATGGGAAAAGGGAAACATAAATGAGAATTAAGAATGAAAGGATTCATATATTTGGAATATGATAAAATAAATCAAGAGAAATAAAGTTGAAAATGTCGAAGTAGACCATGAATAATTAAATGTAAAGAGTCGAGAAAAATTCAATATTTTGAAAGAAATTCTATTTCCTAAGTTGGGAAGAAGAGAGACGGAAGAGAAAAATGAAACAAAAGAAAAAAACAAACAAAAAAACACAAACACAAAAAAAGAGGAAAGTTGGAGAGAAAAGTTGAGAAAGCGAGGAAAAACAAAAATAAAGCAAAATAAGGAAAAGAACTAGAGACGTTTGAGTGAAATAAAGAAATAAATGAATGGAGACTGAGAGAGAGAGAGAGAGAAAAGAAAAGAGTGAATGGATACTGAGAGAGAGAGAGAAAGAAAGAAAGAAAGAGAGAGAGAAGCGATACAAAAATATAAAACGGTGGTCGAAATATATAGGGATATATAGAGTTAGGATGAAAAAAAAGAGGGAATAGTGAGAGAGGGAGAGAGATAGGAATGCAGAGAGAGTGAGAAGAAAGAGTAGGATAAAAGTAAAAGTGAGGAGATTAAGGAAAGAAATGAAAATAAAAGAAAGAGGATAAGAGGGTGAAAAAGTAAAAGAAAGATACAAAAAAGGAAGAAATAAATGTAAATAAATATATAAATATATACTTAGCCATTTATTTGTTTGTAACATTATTTATCAGGCCATTGTATTAGCAGCTTCATATTGGGTGCTCCAAATTTGAAGCCTTGTTCCTGAGTAAGTTGTTTTCTTAATATTGAGATGGAGAGAAAAAGAGAAAGAAAATTATGGCGGAAAGAATGATAAGGAGAAAGAGAGACGTAGATTGATAGAAAGATAGAAGGGAGAGAAAATAGAGTGAGGTGAAGGAGAAGATGAAAAGAGGGTGGGAAATTGAAATGTGGGAGGAAGTAGAGAGAAAGATAAAAATGGTTCCATATGCAGAGGGTGAATTGCAGTCAGATAGATAAAAAAAAGGCGGGGAAATTACAGAAGAGAAAAAAATCAACAGTAAAATCTTGCTGACAATTCTCTAGTGGCATCTTGCGTTAAAATAGTGAACAAGACGAAAAAATGCAGAATGTAAAGTTCGAAGCAAAGAAAATTGGGTGTTGCAATTTCATAATGGAAAGACGTACGTCGGGAAAACGAACGAGAAATGAGAACTGAGTTTGAAATAAAAAGAAAGAAAGATTTGGGTGAAAATGAAGAGAAGAATTGCACACAAAAAAGAACTATATCGATATATAGATAAAAAAAAATCCGAGTAAAATGAATGAGAAAGGGAACGAAGAAAATATATAGAGCTGGAAAGATCTTAAAATAGTGTAAGAAAATGTTGAAGGAAAGAAAGAAGGAAAGAATGCAAGAAAAATTGCAGAAATATTGTAAGTGAAAGGAAGGAAGAAAAAGACAAACGAAAAAGTAAACAAGGAAGAAAGAAACTCAAGATTAAGAAAATGAATGTTTATATGAAAGAAAAAAAATAAAATGAGAAGAAAGTGAAAAAGAAATTCAACTGGAAAAAGAAAAGAAGAATGTAAGGAAAATAAAGATTAAAATAAAACACAAATGAAAGAGTGAGGAAAAAAAAACGAAGAAAATTAGGAAAAGCAATAGAAAGATTCACATCAAAAGGAGAGAAGAAAAATAGTAGAAAAAAAAAGAAAAAATCAGAAGAGGTTAAATAGATAGACATATTAAGGAAAGAGAAAGCAAGGAAGATAGAAAAGTGAAAAGATAAAGCAAAATAGAAAAGTAAAGAAAATAAATGAAGAATATTGCAAAAAAAAAAAAAACAACAAAAAAGCCAAAAGCAATGAATCAGTAAAAAAAAAATCTGCTAAAGACAGAATAGGGAAAAAATAAAAACTTAAAAAGTAAAAAAGAAAATGGTGTTTAATATATATGCATACACCTGACATATATCACATCCAATCCACTCACAATGGCAGACAGGTTACTGTTCAATACCTACATGGTATTTTTTGATAGATAAAATGATTATATATATATATATATATATATATATATATATATATATATATATATATATATATATATATATATAATGCCACTAGTGAAAGAATGATATTTAACTTTATAAGCGAGTAGCAACCAAACTACCATCTTGATATATAAAACCATTTCAAGATTAAGGCGGGAAAATTCTGATCTTGATTCACCGTCAGTGGATAAAGACATGCGAAGGAGATAAAAAAATGCAAAATAGTAAAAAAAGAATGAGGCTGGAATCGGTTTTATTAGATATTCTCCATTGTTCATCTGTCTTAAGTACTGCCATTAGATTCTTAAGCCATATGGCGTAACCCTAAGTCGTTTCACCCCTACTTCCGTCTTAGAAAAAAAATCTATAAAAAGGCATCCGATTTTCTTTTGGAACTATTTTTTGTGCTGCAGATAACACCATACCCTTCGTCTCTTCCGAAGAAGCAACCAAATTATTCCGTCTTTTTTGTCTACTTCGACATTTTCCCTAATTTATTTTATTATTATTATTACTTTTTAATATTCTTCCGCAGTGTCCCAGTCATATATATATATATATATATATATATATATATATATATATATATATATATATATATATATATATGGTTGAAGTCGTTTTAAATTCTGATGACCGTAAGTGGTCCTTTTTATTCAGCTATCGAGCAGCAGAACGAATCAGAGATGTCAGTTTATTACTATATTACCGGCAAAATAGCTATTCGACTGTCTTTCTTCCAACACTGACGGCCAAAAAGCATATACTTTTTCCCTCGTTGGACAAAAAGAAATTTTCTTTCATGTTTTATGACGTTCACTCGATTGCTACTCTTTCATGATTTAAGCACTTGGAGACATCTTTTAACAAAAGTGACATATATATTTTTTATAAAGAAATAACAGCTTCTTGAAAAGAATTGAGGCTTATTGCCAAGTTCTTCGCAAAAACCATTTTCTGTCTCCGGCTCAGTTCTGGAAGGGTCCGAAAATAATAGATGACGGCGAATAAATCAGCCCCGATCATTATTTTCATGAGAACAACTTTGCTTCCATTTTAATGGAGTTATTTTCGTATTGCAAGTGGCAGACTTTCTAAAATAAATAAATAAATAATAGAGCAAAGGAGATTAGTGATTCGAAACACCATTTTTTGTCTATCAGAATTATACTTTGTGGTTTACGTATTCGTAATTTTCAACTAGTTTTATTCCAATCGTAGAACAAACCTGTGTATTCAGCCCCTAAATTTGAAACATAAGTACTATATATATATATATATATATATACAAATGAAAGAAAGAACTGATGGGGTAATAACCCACAGTTCGTAGCATTCATTTTTTTAAGTGGTCAGTATAACAGTAGAGCAAAATATTACAATATTTTTATTATAATAAATTACAATAAAAACTGTTTTACATTGCTCCACAAAAATTTTCATGATTCGATACTGAGATGGTACCTCATCAGGCGATGATAGACAACTAATGATAAAAATTATTTATTAGGGAAATTCAAAAAACAAGTCAAAGGGGGCATAAGGTCAGAGGGTGGAGGTGGGTGGGTTATTATTATGTCAAGCAGACTGATGCATAGACATGCCAGTCAATGACACTAGGGAATAATTACCGCGAAAAATATATTAGTGTATCCAAATAGGATTAGGCAATTTGTTGAAATAGACATATATTTATCAGAAAAGGATTTTTTTTTTAAATTAAAATTTATTTAAAGACTCAGGAAGCTTCTTAAAGCGGCCTATGGGTAAAATTAAAATTGTGGAAACAACTATATAAGTTGTTAATTATATTGAATAGACGGCAAAACATGGCCATATTATAGTTGAATAAAACAAATAAATGTTGGGTGGACCATTATATAATAATAGATTAATAGCTATACAATTATAATAAGTAATTATGAAAAAAAATTTTGATCTATAATTTAAGCTGAAAGGTAGACAATAGCGGCATAGCACGGTTCATTCATTTCTTTGGTTGAACAAGTTTTTATTGTTAGGAAACTTAATAATATACAATTTATCTTGTAAACATAGGGGACATGGATCATATAAGGATTTACAGGTTCTAGTTATTTTTAATATTTCTATTATATATATATATATATATATATATATTGATAAAGTCTTACAGAGGACAAAACACATTCATTAGGATACGTTTTCCTTTTCTTTCTCTCTCTCTCTGTGTATATATATATATATATATATATATATATATATATATATATATATATATATATGTGTGTGTGTGTGTGTGTGTGTGTGTGTGTGAATAAAAAAGACAAATGGAAAAACTGTTCTTAGTTAATGTGTTTCATCCTCTGACGGACTTTTTATCAGGCCAAATGTAAGGATTTATTTTGCTGCACATGATTGTATACAAGAGCAAAGATGTCATTGGTTTATCAACATGGTTATATACAAGAATAGAGATATTCTGTATCATGTTTAAGCGCAAACATCTGGCCTGACGATTGCGTTTAAGCATGACAAATTATTCACCGCTGGTTGTTGACTTCAATGTCTATTTCATATATATATATATATATATATATATATATATAAAGGGTGTAACAGCAAAATTGTCCAACTCGTTTTACAGCATACTTGTCCATCCCACAAATAGTTTAATATCTAAAATAAACACTAAAATAATTGAATTTTTTTTTTCAGGTTTTCAGATCCATCTTGATTTGTAAGAAGAATCACTCATTGTAAGAATCACTGAAAAACCGTCGGAGTTATTCAGCTAGAAAGAGAACAGATTAAAATCGCTTTATGTCAGCCCCACTATGTCTTCCTAACTGAGCAGTGGTGAGAGAAAAATGATCATTCTGGTCTTCAGTACTGGTATCAACATTCATACTCTCGCTTCCATCATCAAAATTCATTCAAGAACCGTCATGAGAAGTTTAAAAAACTCCATACGAAGCATGTTAGTAGAAAATACAAGCATAATAACCTCATATTAAAAAGATTAAAAATAATGGAAGCCCTAATAAGAAAAATGAAGACAACACTCAATAACATTAATTACTAACACGGCCACAATGTGCTGATCGCGTTTGGAAAATAAAACACCTGTATAATTCTTGATATATACACACAACCCATACATTCAGTTAAAAAGTAAAAATAAAATCATCCTTGATAATGGGTAAAAGGCGAAAGCGCTTGGAAATGCAGAACTTTTGGAGAGTTTTTACATACTTTGTGTCCAGAAAAGAAAACACATTTACAAAGGAAAAGGCTTAATCTCAGTGCCTTGTCAGTCGTCTTTAATGAAACATGTTTATAGAGGGATTGCTGCCTTAATACACAATCTATCTATCTATCTATCTATCTATCTATCTATCTATCTATCTATCTATCTATCTATCTATCTATCTAAGTTCTAACCGTCACGTTTAAGATCCGCCATGTTATGCCCATTGTAGCGAATCACGCTCATTTCCTTAGTTTTACGTATTCATATCCGCCTACACCGTGCATTTTACTCTTTATCTCTGGACACTCTACAGGATAATCATCTTTGCTAAAATATATTTACTGCATATGCTCGCATATCATGCAACTTTTGGAGACCTAATTTTGAAGTTAATTTACAGTTGGTTGCATCATACACGAGATATAAAATTAGTGTATGTACTGTTGGCCCATGGCTACTCCGTTGACTAAACTATATATCCATTTACTATAGTCAAGAAGTACAGCTGTATTTAAAATAAACATGATTTTGATAAAACTGATATTTTACTCAACTGTAGCCAATAATAATGCATGTAATACTCACATATTAATATCGTATTATAAAATACAAATATAGCGAATACGCATCTTTTCCATTGTTTACGTTTATAAAATTTCTACCTGTTTCTCGTTTGGTAGTTTATGGCTGAAAGCATTTACGCAATAAGTGTAGCGTTAGTAACGATACTTTTATCAATCTCTTTGACTTTTTTTAAACTTATTTAACTAGAAGATGGGATAAAGAGATAGTGCAAAAGAGATTAGTCTATTGTAAATTGGTCTCTCAAAAAATGAACTCGCATGATACACGAGATACTTGATAATATTTTTTATAAGCGGAAATTTGGGAGACGCACGATACGCGAAAACATGCGTTACATGAGTATAAACAGTATGTATACATGTATACATGTACATAGAGGGCTGTGCCAAAGTAAATGTACCCCTAAGATAATATTTAAAATAATTGTCTCTATTTTCCACATAACCAACAAATCTTGAACTATATATCCTGTAAGAAAAATCTTTAACAAATGAATTACAAACATTTTTTTATGGAATTGGAATAAAAATATTAATTTAAAATTAAAAATCAGGAAGTGCAAAAGTAAGTGAAACCCTTATATGTATACACTGCACTTTTCTTTTTCATGGTTCCCAGTGCAAATATTTTTTTTTGCACATGTAAAAATCAAAATGACATGTTTTTAGTTTTTGGTAAGCTGTTTATACTGCAGTCAAACACTATAACTCATTGTGTATGCAAAAGTGTGCAGTTAGAGACTAATTTAAAAAGTATATTTACAAATATCAAAAAAAATTCCAGAAGCTTTAATAAATCTCATAATTGAAATCTATAATAATGGAGAAGGCTACGTAAATCTATCAAAACGATGTGGAGTATATTTTACCCCAGAGCAACTAATTATTTATTAATGGAATGCCTTTGGTATGACGGCCTCACGAGTAGTAGCAACCCACGAAAAATAACAGCAAGAGTAAATAGACATCCAATACGGCAACCCCAGGCAAATTCTGCTGGGGCTTTTGCTGTGACCAATGCTGCTGTGACCGACGCTTCCTACTGTGACCAATGCTTACTGGCCAATGTCAGAATCAACGTGCATACATTTACAGTGTTAAAATATCTGAACAATGTCGATCTTCATGACAGAATGTTTATAAATAGACACTGTTTACAAAATAGCACAAGCATGTTCATCTCAACTATGCTAAAGCTCATATTAATTAGCTAGAAACATTCTGGCAAAAGGTTTTATAGTCGGATGAGAACAAACCAGTGCTTTTGGGGAGGAACAATAGGTGGTATATCTGGTGAGCTCCTAATACGGCTTTTGAAGAGAAAAATTTGATATCAACCACGAAACATGGCGGTGTCAGCATTATTATTTGTGGTGTTTTGCTGCAGCTGGAACAGGCAAAATAATACGCATTGACGGCACAGTGGTCTCTGGGAAGTTACCAAGTAATTTTGAACGAAAGTCTCTTGTATTCAATAGTAGTGTTTAGGATGGGGTTGGAACGGCCAAGTCAAACCCAACTGAAAATCTGTGATTCAAATGAAAGAAGCCAGTGCATGCAAGAAACACAGATAATATCGAGCAATTGTGGGAGTTTTGCCAAGAAGAATGGTCAAAAATCAGCACTCAATACTGCCAGAAACTTCTTAAAATTATAGAAAAATTTAGTAAAACTATATTTAATACACCCTGCATATACACACACAGACACAAGCACACACGCACACCCACCCACACATATATATGTATGTATGCATGTGTGTATGCATTATATATATATATATATATATATATATAGATATATATATATATAGATAGATAGATAGATAATATTAGTGGTCAATATATATATATATATATATATATATATATATATATATATATATATATATATATATATAAATTTCCAAGAGGATAGAATCCGGGTAAAGCTCAATGTCCAGGACAGAGCAAGGATATAATATAAAAGGCTCAAACACTAATATTCCATGGTTATAGTTTATTACAATGGAATCGTAATCATGATCCAATTCATCAGACCTATAAATTCAAAAATAAATCGGAAAATATAACTCCAGGTATATTTTCCGATTTCTTTATGTATATTATATACATATATTCCTTTATGGTGACTTGACTTTATAAATTTAAGTGCAGTACTAGATAGGCTGTAAGTACTCATCATTTTATAATTGAAATGGCGAAATATAA